TAATTTAAGATCAAGAAAGAGTATAACTATTCAGAAGAAAAAGATTAATCATTGTCGAGCGAATTCAGCATTTAAATGTATGGGAAAGATATCGAATTAACTTAGCATCCATTTTAATTAGTGATCGGTTGACTGAAGACGAAGTAAACGCCATCATTGCAGCAAGACTAGTTACATTGTCACATAGATGACATTACCAATTTTATTGCCAGGAATGGATGTCTGACCTTGCTCAACCATACTCTGCCTAGAGTTGGAAGTGGCAGAAAAGAGAAAGCCTTGCTACACAAGTGACTGAAAACTTGAAGTGGATTAAACTGTAACAACACTATAAATTATCTCCTCTGCTAAGTAACCATAGAGGAAATCAAAGATAATTGATAAGCCATGACAATTATTCATCTTTCTCAATGAAGGAATAATCGATCATATTAAATAGACCTGCGTTGATGCACGATGGAAGCATCTACTTGAATTAGCCATACCTATTTATGGAATGAAGTAAAACGAAAGCTTATAACGCTTCCCTCTAACTGATAAATTAAAATTAATTATATGCTAATTAAAAAAGGATTTATTCCCAAAAATCGAGACAGAGAAGCCTCGGGCATCATTCTTATATGGTTTCGCGTAATTATCCATCCTTTAATGGAGAAATATCAATTATTTGCTGTTTGCTTCAACTTCGAACAGCTCTTATCAGGATACTACTCTTAGTAGATGGCGGTTCATTAACAAATGAAATTTCGCTTTTAATTTTCATATGATAATCAAAAAATGAAAGAGGTGAGGCTTGTTTTAACATGCCTTGCATCAAACGCTTCCAATACCTATGTCGTACTAAAACACAAAGTGGATTTTAACTTACTGAGATCAGGAGAAAGCGAGAGTCTGGTGACTATCCTGTCAGTGGGTGGGATGTTGGCAATTTTGGTCGGCTGATCGAGGGCAGAATTGGGAAGGTGCGTGTCTCGTAGGCTCTGACTTGCGATCACGGGAGTGGAGGTGACCTCAGGCACCGGAGGCGGGGTGGGAAGCTCGGCCAGCGAGTTGCGTCGTGACGAGGTGGGCATAAAGCCAAAGTCTGGTTGGGTGAGGCATGTGGGGTGGCCTGAGAGATTGAAA